TCTAGCAATCAGACAAGATACTTGAGAGAGAAATACTGAGTGCTGTGCTTTCTTTGTTAAGGAAATAGAAATGCTACATGAGATTCTAAAAGTAAAAATTTACATCTTTTACAAAAAATTATGATGGTATGAAGTTTTTTGAAGGCATTCAAAGGATATAGCAGGATTCAGTTTTGTATAAGGTGGAGATAAGCTGTTGATTAGCTCTCGGTTGGTTTGTGAGATATTGTAATTAGGCTAAATTGAATGGGTGATGGGTGTTTGAGAAATGAGTTCTAGTGCTTTGTTCCAGATAATTCAAGATCTGATATCGGGTGATGGGTGTTTGAGAAATGAGTTCTAGTGCTTTGTTCCAGATAATTCAAGATCTGATATCTATTAACTACTTAAAACTTTTGACTAGCTGAGACACTGCTTTTTTTTTAAGAAAACAACAGCAACAAATAACAGTATCCTAGGAAAGTATATCATTAGCACTATTTAAAGATGCTGTCTTTTCAATACCACTATTTACATGATTATAATTCATGAGCAGTCTCTATTAGATTTATTGCTGAATGAACAGTATCACTGAATTCATTCTGCATCTTTTATTTTAGGGACGACTGTTTTGCTTACATCCTTATTGTCCTCTCTGGGGTCTTTAGTGTTACTAGAAATCATAAAGTTAGGTAATTTTCCTAATAAACCCATGTCAGTTCTGTAGTCTCTGTAGATTTGGGATGGGATCTATTGGCTCTCAGCTTCAAGGTGGACCCTAAACCACCATCCTGGTCCTTTCAGTATTTGTCACTTGTTTTGCTGAGATGTGTGCCCTCTGTGCAGTTCATCTTTTTCTTTTGGGAAGGCAAACTTCTCTTGATGGAAGGTGTTTTTATCCTTTTTGTTCTAAGGTGCCTCTCAAATTAACAATTTTGTTCATATCAAAAGTTGCCCAAAGTGGGAGCATTGTCTTAAGTATTTCTTGGTATAAATATGCCATTTAGAAAGATAAGTACCTGAATTTAGAAGAAGCAGGTGTCTGGCTTTGAGAGAGGGGGTGGTGTTTAAATTGATTAAAAAAATCCGTTTTGTGAAAGTGTTGCTTGTGTACCTTATGTCTCAAAACTGTGACCTAAAGATTGTCTACCTTCAAGTAGAAACCTGACAACCATTTCTGGGTGATTGGAGGTTTGCAGAGAACTCTCCCAGGCAAGACTCTTAACAGATAAAACAATCCAAGACTGAGGAAAGTTATTGTAAGGGTTTATGAGTTGTCTAAAGTAAAGTTTGTCCAAAGAATGCTCTGCATCTGAGAATTGTTCAGGGAACTGACCTATTGGAGGCTATGCCATCCTGATGTCTTAGAGACTCATACAACAAAAAAGTCCACCAGCTCAAGACAGCTAGGCTGTTGTGAGTAATAAGGAAGCTTTCCATCAAGGATAAGGTTTCAAATTTGATCACGTAATGATGTTATTTAATTTAGAGAGAGGAACAGAAGTTGGTTAGATAAAAAAATGTAATTATTATTAGGTAAAGATAATGGAAAAACGGATAAAAGGAAATACAGATAAGACCATTTATATTTTGAATAAACAAGGTAAGCACTGTAAATATTAACCTAAAAATTTTTAGATATGTAAGAATATGTATTTGCAAGGCTTTTCTTCAAAAGGTTAATGGTTTACAAAAGCCTATGATTTTCTAAGGAACAGGGCCAAGTAGTTTGCCTTGTAAAGTTTTTATAAATACCTGACTTTGCCATCTGATTGCTTTTGAAATCATTTTCTGAGCTAGCTATTAATATTTTTAGTGTGTGTGAAATTACACATTTGTAAACCTAATTTGAGGCTGTGCAGAACAGGTATTAGGAAGATTTTATGCAAAACTTTCTCTGCTATTAATAGAAAATCAGAAGGAATCCCTTGCTAGTAAAATTTATATTTACATTGAAACTATTCTTAAAACCTAATACAGGGGCCAGCCGGGTGGCGCAGCTGTTAAGTTCGCACGGTCTGCTTCAGTGGTCCGGGGTTCACCGGTTCAGATCCTCGATGTGGACCTATGTACTATTTGGCAAGCCATGCTGTGGTAGGCATCCCACATAAAAAGTAGAGGAAGATGGGCACGGATGTTAGCTCAGGGCAAGTATTCCTCAGCAAAAAAAAGAGGAGGATTGGCAGCAGATGTTAGCTCAGGGCTAATCTTCTTCAAAAAACCCCAAAAAACAAAAAACTTAATACGAAATGACCAGACATATTTAATTTACCTTTATGCAGTCATTAGAAATAAGTTGAAATACATTGTTAGGAAATTCAGATTTTCAAGTTAGGGAGTTACATGTCATTAGTTTGATGACCTGAAATTATTTTACTGAGAAGTAATTTTTCATTTATTTTATTTTTTAAAATAAACTTTTAAAACAATTGAAGTATAATTTACGTATAGAAAAGTATAGATGAACTTTTCTATATTGATGAACTTTTACAAAGTGAACATACCTTTGTAACCGTAACCTAGATCAAGATATCAACACCTCTGAGGCCTGCCTGTCTCCTGTCCCAAATAACTCTTTACCCCAAAGGTAACTACTCTTCTGACTTTTTAGTCAGAGATTAGTTTGGCTTGTTTTTAAATTTAATAAAAATAGAACTTAAAAAAGATCTGTGTATATGCTTTCTTCCCCTCTTGGTTTCTTTCACACAGCAGTGCATTTGTGAGATGTTTCTTATATTGTGTGTGGCATTAGTTTTCTCATTTTCACTGAGGTTTAGGATTCTGTTGTATGAATATACTATGGTTTATTTCTCCCTTCTACTGCCAGTGGACTTTTGGGCTCTTAAAAATAATGCTGCTATGATAAATCTTGTACATATCTTTTTGTGCACATATGTGCACATTTCTATTGATTGTACACCCAGGAGTGGTATTATTTAGTCATTGGGTGTGCATTTTCACCTTTAGTAGATTCTTCCAAATAGTTTTCCATACTTGTTATACCAATTTACATTTCTACTTGCGGAGTATGAGAATGTGTTGCTGCACATTCTCGTTTACACTTGGTATTGTCTGGTTTTTAGATAAAAGCTAGTCATTTTGGTGGATAGTAGTATCTTCTTGTGTTGTGTATCTGTTTTCCTGATAGTTAGTGATGGTGGACACCTTCCTTTTCAATATGTTTATTGGTTTTTGAAATTATCTTTTGTGAAGTTTTGTTTGGTCTTTAGCCTGTCTTAAAAAAAGACAAATTAAAAATTGTCTTTTTCTTTGTGATTTAAAGTTGTTTTTTTTAAAAAACACTTTGTATATAAGTCCTTTGTTGGACATGTGCATTGCCAATATTTTTTCCTACTCTGTAGCTTGCGTTCTCACTTTTTTAAGAACACACTTCTTTAGTTTTTTTTTTTTTGAGGAAGATTAGCCCTGAGCTAACGTCTGCTGCCAATCCTCCTCTTTTTGCTGAAGAAGACTGGCACTGAGCTCACATCTGTGCCTATCTTCCTTTACTTTATATGTGGGATGACTACCACAGCATGACTTGCCAAGCGGTGCCATGTCCGCACCTGGGATCCGAACTGGCGAACCCCGGCCTCTGAAGCAGAATGTGTGCACTTAACTGCTGCGCCACCTAGCCGACTCCCACAATTCTTTAATTTTAACGAAGTCCAGTTTGTTGTGTTTTGATTTTAGTGTCTTGTTTAAGAAATCTTTGCCTATTTCAAAGTCATGACAATATTTTCCTGTTATCTTATAGAAGCTTTATTGTTTTAAACTTTATTGTTTAGGTTTCTAATATACTTTATTCTTCCTCCTTTTTCCATGACCTGTGGATAGATATAATTCATTTGATTGATTTTAACAGTGGTAGTGATAGAAAATCTATTGCTATAGCTCACTCATAAGAAAATATTTTATTTTTATGTGTGGTATTGTAATTTCTAGTATGGTAACATTTTCTGCTAGTTAAGATAGATCATTTTTTTATTCTGGTAATTCTTTAAAAGAAATTAAAAAAATTTTTTTTTCTGACTCTAAAAGAGGCTGTCAGTTTTACTTAATATTGTCATGTTCTGTCTTATTTGTTTGTTTCGTTTTGCTTTTGAAGAGTCACAGTATGTGCCTTAAAGACATTGGGTTGTACAGTCAAAGGCGGCTACTGTATTTAAGCAGATGACTGAGTCTCTATAAGCCTTGTTTTTTTTAATTGATAAAATGGGGAGTTAATGAGGTGATTAACAAAGAGTGTGTGTAAGTTTTTTCAAGTCCTAAGCAATGGGACTGGCAAACAGTAAGAGCTTTACTAGTATTTAGTGCTTTATTCTTGAAATTTGAACTTTTTGAAGGTTATTTTGACTTGAGACTTGATTGAAAGGATATATACTGTGTTTATTATAAAATTTACAGCTAACTTTTGTAAATAGTAAAATCAATATGTCATTTTATACATTGTTTGTTTATTATGGGTAAAAAATTTTTGTTTTTTTAGTACCAGCATAGGGTGGATTTTAAAATGCTTCCTTATGTTAATTTTTAAAAAATAAAAATAGAATAAATACTTTGTGAAATATCTTTCCACTTCACTGGCTCTACTTTAACTCTGTAGATGATACAGTTACATCGTCTAGGTGCTACTTAAAAGGTAGCTAGATACCAGAATGTCGAATATGACATTGTATATTGACGGACAGGAAGAATTTAACATATGAATGCTTCTCTAAGACATTGTTAGCACACTGTTTGCTTGGTCTGTAATTTTTTAAATTCGATTTGATATAGAGTCTCATTCTTTTTGTAGTGTAGTAAACTCTGCCAGTATCTTGATAATTCATTATTTTTCCATATGTTACATGTAAAATTTCAGTTATTTATAAGATTGTGCCAAAGTTTAAGCATTCATTTTGGTTTTTAAAGTGTTGTAAAAAACAAATTGCTCTCATATAAATGATATTCTTGGGTAGATTTTACGGAGTAGTTGAAAAATTATTTCTTTTCTTTTTTTCTTTTTTTTTATCATTTAGGGAGTGTCAGCCATCAGCAGAACTTTTAAAAGGCTATCTAAGTATTTGGTAAGTACATGTCCACCATGTTAATTGCTTTGCATATTACTTGACTTTACATATATGTTACATTAATGACATTTACAATAGCCAGTGTCAATTACAATTATAATTTATATTTCTTTCAATTTTTACTTGGTACTGAAATTTCTTCTCTTTATACTTATTCTGATCCTCTTCTGATATCCTCTGTATGTCTTGTATCCAGAAAATTCTCTTAGTGTACAACCTCAGTATTAAAAGAGTTCAAGGAAACTAATAGTTTTATTGGGCAGGAATGCTAATACTTTTTGAATGGAACAGGATTTTCCCTACTTGAGATTTTTCTGTTAGCCTTTGATATGTCACAGTACAAATTTCTTCTTTAGCCATCCATTACTCGACCCCTCCTTATGTTAGGTCCTATTCACGACCATAAGGCAACATGAAGACCCGTACTATGGTCAGGCCATAAGCTGTTTCCTATCTGGGCTACTCCAGTTTCTTTGTAATAGCATTATAATATGAAAAATTTGATAGTTGTCTGTAGTTAAGAATTTCATAAGCTTATGATTTAACTAAATACAGCTCTTTTTTATTTTTGAGTAAAAGTAGAGTTAATCTCAGAATGTGTTTTACTTCAACTATATAGTATTTTAGACTTGCATGCTGTGGTGACTGTGTAGATATAACAATACTTTGGTTAATCATGACAGATTTTAAAATTATTAAATATATTTCAGCAGTGGGGGGAAGTACTGAGGCATTGGTTAACCAAGTGTCATGGTATAGTTTTTTTATTGTTTTAACGTAGTCAGTAAAATATTTTTAAGGATGAATATATTTATTTGGTTAGCTAGAGGAAATTTCCTAGGTATGTGAAGAAATGTTTAATAATAAACATTGATTTCTTTTATTATACTTCTTAATGTGTTTGAAACAATAAATATTCAACCAAATGATGTTTCTAAGATTCTATAATAATCATAGTTGATGCTTAAATATCCAACAATTGTACTACCCTGTTTCCTGTATATTTATAATAAATATAACATTTTTAGGAGCACATGGTATTACAAAAATCTCTTAAAGAAATTTTTACTACTTTAAAATGTGGTAACTGATTTCCAGAGATGTATTAAGTAGAAAAGAATAACTTACTGTCATTTTTGTCCCCAATGATGCATAACTTTCAGTTTGTTTGAGGGAGACAATCATCTTTACGTTGTATGTGTTTATGATATATATTTTTGCAAGTTAATTAATTAATTTTTAGTGACTCCTCTATTGAGATACAGTTCACATACCGGAACATTCATCCCTAAGCGTACAGTTTAGTGGTTTTTAGTATATTCACAGTTGTGCAATTATCACTACTATGTAATTTTAAGACTCTTGTCCCTCCTTCCCCCTAGAAAAACCAAACCAATCCTTTATCCATTAGCAGTCATTCCGTATTTCCCTTCAACCCCCGCCCCATTCTGCTGCGTCCCCCCTGCACCCTAGGCAACCACTAATATACAGTTTCTGTGGATTTGCCTATTCTAGACATTTCATATAAATGTAATCATACAATATTTGTCCTTTTGTGACTAGCTTCTTTCACTTAGCATAATGTTTTCAAGGTTCGCCCATGTTGAAGCATGTATCATTCATTTGTATGGTCAAAAAAAATTTTCGTCGTATGCCACATTTTGTTTACCTATTCATCAGTTGATGGGTTGTATCTGCTTTTTTTGGGAATGCTTTTGCAGTGAACCTTCTCCTGTAAGTTTTTGTTTGGACGTATGTTTTCATTTCTTTTGGGAATATACTTATAAGGATGAAATTGCAGGGTAATCTGGTAACTCTATATTTAACTCTGAGAAACTGTCAAAGTGGCTGCACTATTTTACAGTTCCACCAACAGCGTGTGAGGGTTCCAATTTCTCCACACCCTCAGAGACACTTGTTATTGTCAGTCTTTTTTGCATTTTAGCCATCCTAGTAGGTGTGCAGTTGTATTTCATTGTGGTTTTGATTTTCATAATAAGTAAGGATGAGCATTATTTTATGTGCTTATTAACCATTTACATATATTCTTTGAAGAAATGTTTGTTCAGATCCATTGCCCATTTTTTTATTGGGTTGTCTTTTTATTGTTGAATTGTAAGCATTCTTTGTATATTCTAGAAATTAGTCCCTGATGAAATATGTGATTTGCAAATACTTCCTCCCATTCTGTGATTGTCTTTTCACTTTCTTTCTAGTTTCTTTGAGTCACAAAAGTTTTTAATTTTGGTGAAGTCCAATTTATCTATGTTTTCTTTTGTTGCTTGTGCTTTTGGTGTCATATTGCAAATTTATTTTTAAGTAAATATTCATTGATAGTCTGGGTCTGTGACAAGATTTTAATTGTCACAGGACTATAAAGCATTGGCATTTTCTGTGTTTGACAGCCAAAGCCCAAAGGAAGCAATTATCTTTGTATTTGTGCTTCAATTCCTCAGCTAATTATTTTAAGCAAAACATTATGTTTTGAATCCCATGTGTTACCATGAAAATGTTAGCTGTGTGTGATATGTTTATTGATATTAGTCTTGTGAATTCATGTTTAGTTTTTTGGATTGGAGAAGAACTTATTACTTTCGTTTATCATGACACTTATTGCATATTTGACTGCATACCTTAATAAACCATTGCTTTTAGGCGAAGGGTATTATCAGAGTTTTTTTTTTTGTTTGTTTTTAATCTTTCCTGTGAGGAGAGGATAGATTTTGAGAATCTTACTGATGTTAATCTTGTGCAGGTTATTTGTAGGCAATAATATTTTGGTGTTTTTGTAAACCTGCGTATGGAATATGTATATGTTTCCTCTGCTTTATTAAGTATGTGTGTTTTTAATTTTTATGAGAGCATTTTTGTTCCTTATTTTTTAATCATTATGTGGCTTCTTTTATCAATTGAAGGCATATTTCAGGATATATTGGCCTATAATGTTGTCTTATTTAGCTTTTTAGAGAAATGGCTTATAACAGTGGAATGTACTACTCTTAGTTGCATTGTCTTTCTGTGTAAGGACAAGATTTTGTAATTAGTGTAATAGCTGTATTTTTGTTGGGGGAGTTTACTTTTGTTTGTATCTTTCATGTTATCTAACAGTATTCTGTGTTAACGTCAAATAACCAAAAGTCTAGTTTAATGAAAGTTTCTAGAGCTAATATCGTTGATAATTCTTTTTGTTAGTTGATTTTAAATCATGTGGCCATTGGTTAACAATCACTTAAGTGCCCATTGGATGGGTAACATTGTTCTTTACATTGATGTTTTTATAGTTTGCTTTATACCATCCGTGGCTAGTTTGCAGTGGAAAAGGAAATAAAAACTGACATATCTCATTCATGGTGGTGGTCAGTTTTCAATTGTGATATCAAAATAAAGGAAAGATTTAGTTGAGAGTTACCTTCTCCTATGTGTATGTCAAATGTGGTAATTAAGAGGATTTTCATGACCTATGTATGGCTGAATTAAGGCAAAATGGCGTCTGTGCCCTATTCTTTCCCCATTCTCTTGTTCCATATGCTTCATAACATAATAATTGAGTATACATTAATTTTTTTGAGTATTTATATTTGAAATGGGGGTTTAATATTAGTAGTAGAGACCCCTTTTTCTTACAAGGGTAAGAAGGATTACCCTTTAGTTCAACCACTAATTTGTCACTAAAATCAATAGAGGCTGCCTTATACTGTAGGTAGCAGCTTCTTACCACGTGTCCTAGAGTTTGCTACTCCGCTGATCCATAATATGCCTTGGAGATAATGGTGTCAGGCTTGTATGGATAGAACAGTTGAAGTATTCTTCATCAGAAGAGTCTTTCACTGCTTAGTAATCTTACTCAGGAAAGCTCACCTGGACTTAGGTTATTCTAAATGTCGCATTGTTTTTCCAGAAATGCCTGAAAACTTTGCACAGTAGCGTTAACTCTCTTTTCTCCCAATATAGTTACTGTAATAACCATGTCATGTAGGGAAGTTTTCTTTCAGAACTCACTTTTTAAATGAAAAACTTAATCTAGATTAAGCCATATTTAATCTAGTAGCCATCTCAATTTTATTCTGAATAATACCCAAGGTTTCCATTCTCCTGATCTTTCTTCACAAATTTCCCAGTCCATTAACCTAAATAATTACAATTGTTTATTTCGTCTGCTTTGTTCCCTATTCATGGATTGCCTAGCTTTCCTAGAGTTGTATCACTTTACTGTCTTGAGAGGTTCCTAGTATAAATTCACATTTTTCCCCCTAGCTTAGCCTCCTTGCTTCTGATATTCCTTATCTCTTTTTGATCTTCTATTTCATTCTGCATTTTAGTTATTTGGAGTCTTTTCACTCTCCTCAAATGACCAGTCCTATCCTTATTTCTCTTCTTTTTTCATTTCATATTTTATATTCTTTTCTTTCCTCAGTCTATCTTTACTCAAAGGATAAGATGTTTTCATTTCTTTTGAAAGCTAACATCTATATCCGTAGTCTTATCTCTTCTTCCCCTTCACTAGAACCTTGCTGTTTCCTGTTATTCTCCCTCTTTTGCTCCATGCTGGGTTATCTGCTTTTTCACACCTAATCTTGAAAAATACCTCACTTCTATTCATTCACCATCCTTCCCATTATCACCAACCTTGTTTGATTTATAGGTGACTCTAGGTGTCCAATTTCTCAACTCTTATTCAGCTATCTTCTGCAGTTTTTTTTTTCTTTTTTGAGGAAACTTAGCCTTGAGCTAAAATCTGCTGCCAATCTTCCTCTTTTTTTCTGAGGAAGACTGGCCCTGAGCTAATATCCATGCCTATCTTCTCTACTTTGTATGTGGGATGCCTGCCACAGCATGGCTTGACAAGTGGTGCGTAGGTCCTCACCCAGGATCCGAACTGGTGAACCCCTGGCCACCGTAGCGGAACGTACAAACTTAACTGCTGCGCCACCAGGCCGGCCCCTAACTTCTGCAGTTTGACTATTTTTCTGCTAGTGTTCTGCTTCCTCAAGTGAAAG